ACTCAGGACAGCAAAGATGATACATGAGAAGCCCATCCCTGACATTGTGCTCACAGCCTGACAAGCTGCAAGATTTTCTTCTCAGATCAGGAACCAGACAAGGCTTGCAGCAACTTTTAACACAGTACTACAAGTTCTAGCCCTAGAATTTACTCAAGAATAAGAAATGAATGGCTTCCAAACCAGAAAGGAAGAATCAAGCACTGTTTCTGTTTCCTGAGGACACAACCTTTCATATAAGAAACTTATATCTTCACTGAAAACCTTTTAGAACAAATTCACATAAGGTGCAGGGTACAACATCCACAGGTCCTAAACAATTCATATCTATGTGCTTCAAACAAACTGCAACCTCAAATACAAAGAATACAATTCATTTCATAATTCATCAAATAGAATTAATGCTTAGGAAAAATTTAACCAAACTCACATGTTCTTTAAAATTTGTAGAAGTTGATGTAAGCAGTACAATAGCACTAACAGAATAAAACACATACCATGATGGCAGATGGGAAGAATTCATGTTGTTATAATGTACATGCTACCCAGCTCAGCCAGCCTTTTCAAAGCATTCTTGTCAAAATACCACTGATATTTTCCTAGAAATCAAAAAAACAATATGAAAATTCATAAGGAAGTACAAAGTATCATCCTCTAGCCATGTAAAGAACATTATATGTAGAAGCACAAAATACCTTGTTTTCAAATATATTATAAAGTGACAGGAGTCAAAAGGGTCTTATACTGAAAGAATAGGATCACAGATGAAAATGACTAGCCCAAAGACAAACCAACTCATAGAGTCACCAGGAATTTGGTTTTGTTTCTTCATTCCATTCCTGTCCTTTCCTATATTTTCATTTTCTTTTTCTTTTCAGGTTCTCCCTCTGTCGATCTGTCCTGAGGTGAAATCAGAGTGTGTTGCAGGCTTGTCTGGAACTCCCAGTAATCCTGCTGCCTTAATTGCCTGAATGCTGACATTGCAGGTATTTTCACCATTCCTTGCTCAGCCAGTGAGTTTTTAATAACACCAGGATGAAACCACGTCTGGCGGTGTGTCTTATAATCCTATCACTCTGGAAGCCTGAGGCAGGAACATCATAAATTCAAGGATAGACTTGCCAACTTAGCAACTTATTGAGAAACTCCTCAAAAAAGGAAGACTTTTGGGGCTGGGATTTAGCTCAGCAGCATAAGTGCTTGCCTTGCAAGCAGGCAGTCATGAGTTCGATCCCTGGTACTGATAAAAACAAAAAAGACTAAAAGGAAGACTTTTAAAAGTGGAGTGTAATAAAGCTAAATGCAAAAGCTCTGTATTCAATTTCTAGAAACTGAATGGAAAACCTAAACCATAACCAAAACAAAACCTTGGAAAGTAGAAGGGAAGGCAACAATGCTTTATCCTGGCCTGGCCTTCTGGAGGGCAGTGCGCCCCAAGTAGCTTTATCCTTCACAGCTTTCTTGGGATTTGAAACCAATCATCAATTTCCATGAGTGATCAGAGAAAAAGAGAAAGTGCTTTGGGGATATCAAGCCTCAGTCCCCCAGCAGAAGGCATTTGGAGTGAGCTTCTGAAGTGCATGCTGACCACAGTTACTGTTAAAAAGCAGTGACTCTACCAATATTCTTAATGGGAATTTCAGTACTACTCATTGTGAAAGAAATTGCAGATTATGAAGGTGGTGGATAGCTTAACTAGATGGATTCTTTCTACAAAGTCTAAAGATCAAAGTCAAATATTTTATTCCATGAATATGCAAAATTGTTTGCCAATTGCCGGCTCAGAATAATGTACACCTGTAATCCCAGGCCTCTGACAGCGTGAAGAAGGATGATGAATGGTTTAAGCCTAGCATGGGAAACTCAGAAAACTGGTGAGACTATGTCTTAAAATCTTTAAAAACAAAATTTTACAAATGTATGAAATTATTGATCATTAAGAAATCCTAGAAATCACTGTGCAAGGTACATTAACCGCTGTTATTCTACAATTATTTTATCTTTACAAAGAGTTAAAAAGAGTATCTTGTTATTAAAAAGAGTCCTTGTTATTATTTCAGAAAAATAGCAATCCCTTGATCAACTTCTGATTCTAAATATAAATTTAGGAGAGGAAAAAAAGCAATGATCACATTCTCTTCACGCTGAGCTACCCAAATCCTAAGAAAGTATATTCGGTAGCATATCTGCAGTCATCTCTGTAAAATATTCAAAAAAATTGGGGCTGGGGGTTTAGCTCAGTGGCATAAGCACCTTCCTTGAAAGCAGGCAGTCGTGAGTTCGATCCCTAGTACCGGTAAAAAGGAAAATGACAAAAAAATAAAAATAAAAAAAAAAATTGAAACAATGCAAACCTGGCAGCACATCAATGTCTACATGATGGTAAACCTTATGCTAGGTGTGATGACTAAAGTACATTTGCAAGAAAAACACATATGTTTTTATTCTGAATTCACAGATGATATTTGACTGTATTTTTAAACATTTTAATTTTTCTCTTTTTTTCTTTCCCACTTTTTTTCTTTCATTCTTTTTTTGAGATTGGGTTCTGCTATGCAGTTGAAGCTGGCCTTGATCTTCACTTGTAGCCCTGGATGACCTCAAACTTACAACAACCCTCCTGCCTCAACCTCTGAGAACTGAAATGACAGGTGTGTACCAATATCACTGAATGTGTTTTCCTTTTAAAATTTTCTCCAAAAAATCTTACTCAGAATTATGTGATATTCTTATATTTTCTCAGATTGAATATAAAAAATCAAATCAGAAACCACAGAAAATACAGTTTCAAAATCCTCACCAACATATAACATAATGTAACGTAGTATAGCATAGCACAGTATACCATAATAAAACAAAACAAAAAGCAACCACCTAACTCTGCTTTAAACAACTGCTTCCAAAGATACTTTAATAATTTCTAAGTAAGCCATAAACTAATAATATAATCCATTAATTTCAAATTTAAGTTGTTTTTCTTTAAAATCAAAGACTGCATCCACTCAAGTACATGTATAATATTGGCTGTGGCAGCTTGCTTTCAGGGGTTGACCCAGAAACAGAAGAAATGGCCATCAGCAGATGGGTGCGGGGTGCATGAACAAGTGACAGCTGGTTTTGTTCAGCCCCCCAATGGCATGTGGTGGCAGCATCCTGGGAACCCAGGATGGAGACACTGCTTGAAGGAGACCAACCAGAAAGCATTTTGCCTGATCAGCCTCAGGGCCATCACCTCTAGGAAAGGCAAACTACCCAGCAGGGACACAAAGCCCATGGTCTGTTTGGGATGGGTGGACTATAAGTGATATCAGTGGCTATGAGACAAGTTCCCCAGGAGTGATGTGCATGTGTCCTTCCTCAGCATGGGGTGATGATGTTCATGGCCTTGGAAAGCCTCCCCTTGTAATCACCATCTGCTCTCCCCTCCACAAAATGTCAGAGTATGGAGCTACCATGTGTGGCTGAGTTAAATATCTAAGGAGGAATAAGTAATCACTCATAGGCCCATAAGAGTAAAACTTGCTAGGAATCCTCATCCCCTAGACAGGAGGAGGTTATAACATGAAACGTTCACATACTTCAAAGAAAATTATTATGGTTATTCAGGGAACATCTCCATACTCCCTAATGGAGTTGAAATGAAACTAACATAAGCCAAGGAAAGAAACTCATCCTAAAATTTGACAGATCTCTAAGTGAAGCTTAATTCTCAAAGAGAAAACTTTTTGGATGGAAATGTGCACTTGGCACCCAGCATTCCACTTCCAAAGCATCTACATGTTTGTTGTATGAAATATTTCAAAGTGAAGAAAAGTGTAAAACCACATTCTGTTTTCTAGTTTTTCACTTGCCATTTCTAAGGAACACAAATTTGTTCCACAATAAAAAGAAAGGAGGCATCAGAGGGGGCAGCCCAGCTATGGACCCCAGCACATGACACAACTTCCTTGGCAACAGGTCTAAACAGATTTGAAGGTTCTGGTTACCAGACACTATTGTCTGGTGGCAGTGGACCTTCACCAGCACTTGGCTCATGAGAGTGACCAGTGAATATGCTGTGCTGCTTTCTGAGGCTTTGAAGCCCCAGCCTCTTGACCCTGCATGGGAAAACCACATGCGAATGAGTGAAAGGATGGTTCACTGGGCCAAGATGTTTCAGGAAGCTCACCGGGAACTGCCTAAAATCAAGGGCAGCACAGGGCAGGACCCAAGAGCCCCAACTCCCAAGACACCAGAAACAAGAGGGAGCCCAGGATAGGAGTCCCTACGCTCAGCCACCAGCCACTCAGAGACACCAACTAGAGGACATTACATTAAGGGCTGGCCACCTCTGTGAGTTCTCCTAAACAATTCACATCCTAAATCATCAGTGTAAGGGCTTTGAAGACAGTCAGTGAAGGCAGATGCTCTGGGGCAGGGGCAGGTGTTGGGAAGTGTGAGCCTGTGCTCCTGTCATGTTCCTACCCAGGACAGGGCTGGCAGGAGAAGAAGGGCAGCACTCATGCTTATCCAGAGCCTCCAGAGTCATCTCCTGTCCTCCTGGGTAGAAGTCTGGGACAAAGCTGTTAGTCTTTGAGGATCATAAGGTTATCTGGGTTCACAAAGTGAAACCTGTGGTGTCTCAGAGTCTCAGGCTTCCTGTTGGCTACTGGGCACTGCCCCAACCATGCTGCACACAGGACATTGGCATGGAGGTGGACCCTGGGCCCTGTGTGCCACATTCCTGCTCCAGAGATGGGACCCACAATAACGAGGTATTGGCTCCAGTGCAGAGTATGTGAGCAGAAGGGAATGTATGGAGGCCCACACATGACTAAGAGGAACTTTGGGCCTGATTAACACTTCCAACACCTCCATCCAGGGCTTGTCAAACACTGTGCCCATGGTCTTGCTCCAAAGGAATCTGGACTGCAAGTGCTCAACTACCATATCCTCTCTACTAAGCCTCTACCTCATCACAGGCAAGGTCACTGTATGCATATTGATGGAAGAGGAGAAAGCGAACAGACACAAAATCGTTTCATTTCTTGTCATGAATGAATTCTGCCATTGTACCTCATTTTCTGTACTGGGCCTGGTGTCCAAGGACCATTAGCAAGGTGTCTTCCTCCACTGTCTCCAGCTCTTACACAGCATCACCTCACCAGATGTGTGCTCACCTCAAATGTCAGTCCACTCTGTACAATTCTCTGGCACTTGTCTCATGGGATTTTTCCATGCACTGCAGGTCCTTTTGCAGGAGCCTCTGGGCTAAATGAGCACAAGAAGACAGCAGTGATCACAGTGGCTCAGTCTTCCATGGCTATGGAAGAGGAACTTAATTCCTTCCTGGGGACTTTTCATCAGAATCTTGGGAGCATTCTGCGGTGCCTCATTAATAGACCAGGATATTCAGCATGAGCCTCCTTTTCTCATCTCTAAAATGGGGGAGGGTGCCTTAGGACTCATAGGTTTTGTTCATACATAGACTTCTATTCAACCTCTCAATTGCGGTGATCTGAGCATGCTAGTATTTCTAAGTTTCCATTGTGAAATGTAAGTTTTAATAAGAGAATCCCTTTTCTGCAGGGGCCCTCCTGTGAGCCCATTACCACTAGCCTCTGCGGACTAATTGGAGTGTGGGCTTTGCTTCAGCCCCAAAACCTCCTGAGAAGCCATGTGCAGGACACCATTTCCATGTTTACCCACAGTCTCAGAAGTCAGGCAGCAGAGAGCCTGGTAGAGGTCTGTACAGGAAGCACAGTGCAGGCAGATGAGCCTCACAGCCTGAAGGTGCCTAATGAGCTGGCCTTCTGGATAGATACGCCAGGCACAGCCTCTCCTCCTTGGACTCCTCCAGGGATGACCTCTCTATCCTATAGGCACCAAAGCTGAGAAGCTGAGTTCTTACCTTAGCATCCCAGTGGGAATTGGTCACCTGTGGATTCAGGTCCTGGCCCTATGCAAGGGCCTCACTCAATCCTAGTTTACAGTGCCAAATGGGTTGGGACTGAGTGGATTGAGAGGTTAGGGTCACTGAGGATGAAATGGGTGCTCCATGTCAAGGGGTTAGCTGTGGCCTTGGCCCCATGAAGATCTGCTGTAGAGGCTGTGATAATTCTGATGGATGAACTTCTATCCCACTCAGTGACCAACACTTGGTGGATGCAGTTCTGTTCATCAGAAAGGAGATCGGAGAGTCACTCTGTGGACTTCAGGGTTTGTTCAACAAAGGAAATCTTGAGAATGGCAAATTGTCTATGGCTGTCAGACAGATAGGAAGAGCAGACAGGTGTTACCAACCCACAATCGTATATGAAGACACACTGTGTGCAAACATGTTTCTGGATATTAACCAAGATTCTGTAAGCAGAGCCAGTGGAACCACTGCCCTTTTGAGTTTCGATGTTTGTGGGAGGACACAGAGTAACCCTTGGCAGCAGAACAGATATTGCTCACCTCAAAGCCATTGTTCCAGTCTCCAGGCCTCCCTAGTTGTGGGTACAAAACATGCAAGGATTTATACAGGGGCAAAGAGAATTGGGCACTGCATCACTGCCTGAGCTAGAGACTGCAGAGATGCAGGACAGATACTGATTGATCCCTCACTTCTCAGATATTCATGGAGTGACAGCCCTGAGCCCTTGAGTGCAAAGACAGGGCAGATTGCAGTCTCTACCTTCTCCAAGCTGACTTTCACTGGGGAGGGGCAGGGAGATACTGTGTCAGGATTCCCTGAAGAATGTAGATGTATGATAAAACTAAGCAAGGTCTCCCTCCCACTGAGACTTCTTTCAGCCATTAAGGGCCCTTTGGGCCCTCACTGCCCAATTGTGGGTGGGTGAGGATGGGGCTGGACATTTTATCAACTGGGCAGGAGGTCCACAAACCCCTCTCTACAAGTGAGATGTGCAGGCATTGTGGGAGGAAAGCCCAGGTGTCTCACTCTGCTGGTTCCCTGTCTGCCCCAGTTCTTCTGTGCTTGAGGGTTGGGGATCCCAAGGCTGAGCTTCTCCTGGACCAGCTGGAGCCCCAGAGACTGAAGCACAGGGTAACTATCTCTGGAGTGTAGGATGTAGGGTTGTGGAGGAGGTGATGGCCTTGGAACTCAGCCAAGTTCCCAGATGCTGTGTGACCCAGGAGTATGACACACTCAGCAGTCGGTGTGGGGATGCAGTCAGGAGACTTTCCTGGGGCTGTGTTGGTGCACATGGCTGCCTCTGACAGGCAGTAGGAAGGTTTTGCCCAGGAAGTCCATAGAAAGTTGGCAATGTTTTCATTTCCTGCAACTACATGCCCAGGCTCAGCCCATGCAAAAGTTGCACCTGCAGATCTTGTGCCAGCTCTACCTGCAGCTCCCTAACCAGCTCTGATCCCAGAGCAAGAGCCAGCACCTGGATTCCTTTGTCCAGCAGCTGAAGTTCTGAGCTCCTGGTGGCTCCACTAGGAGTCATCTCTTGAGCTCAACTTGGGGCAGCTCTTGACCCACACCTGCCATTCCCCTCTCTTCAGATTTACTTACTATTGTTTTCACAGCTACACTTATGTACCAGAGATATGTTAGTGATAGAACAAATATAGATAAAATTTAAGATTTTAGGGTTGTTTAAAATAATCAGCTTGCTGACATTCACGGCATTCTCAATGTTGAGCAAATTTCCCCAAGTCCACTTCCAGAATATATTCTTCAAATTTTTACACAGTGTTGTTTTCTTTCCCCTCTTGCCCCATCCAGTCACCACTGATTGTATGTCCTCATACTTAACCTATATTACATTTCCCACATCAATACCATAAGGTTTTCTTTGGTGAGGAATGTTGGTAGTGACTTATCTTGGGTTAGAGTTAGGTTTAGGGTAGGTTAGACTGAGGGTTAGGGTTGGACTAAGCTCCCAATTATTGCATTATTACCCACTGTATTTGTCATAAAGAAAGAACAATCGAGACAAAGCAGCACCTTATGCTGGCAATGTCTTGGCCCTGAGCTGTGTGCTCAATGCACAAAACTTTGAGAGCAATCACTGGTGGTTGGAATGTACCACTGTGCAAAAGATAGGGCCCAATATGTATTCCATGCATCACATGTGCCCTGGTCCTAACACCAACATAATCAGTATACACTATAAATATGTAGTAAGAAAAAATATACAGTAATCTGTAAACAAAACATAAAGCAAGGAAATCCACTTCTGACATGTGGGGAAAAAAAGAGCTACTGATGAAAAATCTCAAACATAAAAGACACGCTCTCCTTGGCCAGCAATGGTTCCTTTTTGCAAATGCAAATCTGTAGAGCAAAGCTTCAGCTGTCCTCAATCTACATCCTTGCTAATGGAATTTTTGGGGCTAATCCTCCTATAATAGGAGCATGCACTTTTATACTTTTCTCTATGCACAACCTAACAGAGACACATAGAGGACTCACTGTGTGCTGTGTACCAGAGCTCCTCAGATGCAGATCACACTTGGGGAGACAATTAAACTCACACTGCCAATAGCTGTTGCTGACTAAGTCATGGGCAGAGGGTGAAAACCAAACACAGGCAGATCTTCTGCAGGAACCCTCAGTCTGGCTCCCAAGTCCTGTATTTGTAACTCTGCTTAGACCCCTGATTTCTATCAAAGTGATCAAAACTGCTGTCTCCTCTCTGGCCTCAGGATACAGGCTGAGAAGTGGGTGTAACAGTGACAGCTGGAGGTGCCCTGGCCCCTCTGTAACCGCCACCTTGGAGAAAGACTCTTGTCTTCCTCCACTTTCCTCCCTTGCCTCTCTCACTACATTTCAAAGGCTGAGCTGCTGCCCGGCAGTCTGGGTGGAGATGCTCAGCAGGGCCTTCAACATAGTTTTATCAACATAGTTTTATATGTGACATACTGTGTCACATACACAGATTTCCAGTAAATGGTCTTGAGATAGAAAGATGTAGTAAAAAGTGACAGCTGGAATGAACCCTGCTTTATACACAAAGGCCCCACATCAATGTGGTGGGGGAGAAAATATATTAGGTTCTTGCCCCACTCCGTGGCCATTCAAAACTCAGCTGCCCCATTGCTGATTACACAGATTCCTGCCCCACCCTACCACACTAGGCTAAAGCTTCACCGACACAAGGACCAGAAAACTAGGTGTTTGCCTCTGGAGCCAATAGGCAGGAAAGTGAGGACACAGTGGTGCCTGGCAACTAGCTGGCCAGGCAGAATAAAGAGATGACAGTGGCCATGACCATCTTACCTGAGGGTCAGTCACTGATACAGAGGCATATTATGCACAGGTAAGCCTTGGGCCATCTCCTTTCCAGGTACTCTCCACTGTTGAAGGACCCAGAGACATACAAATAGCAGGATGATGATGCAGCCAGGATTTATAACACAGTCATTTTTTTTGGGACAGAACATAGATGGATGATAACAGAGATGGATGAGTTGGGAAGAATTTATCCCCAGACACAGTTGGGCTGGGGCATCCTTATTTCCCTTCCTTCAAATGTATGGTCCAGATCTCAGGGCCCTGCTTCAATGTGTGGTGCACATAGCCTTTGTTCCCTAGCCAGATCCATTTCTGCCCATCCCACAGGAGCCATTTCAAAGTTACTGTTTCTGCTTGCATTGTGCCAGACAGAAGCATCTACATTTGTCTCCCCACATATCCAGATATTCATGCATCACACGGTAAACCACAGATTAAGTCAGCTCCTTAGATGCTCCAAAGATACGGACTTCCAGACTGACCTTGACACCTCAATTCTGAGCACCATGTTCTGAGGAGAACTTCTAGAGCTGGGAGCTAAAATTAGGGGCTCTTCAGTCCTAAGCCCTGGACCAAGTGCAACACAGGTTGGACCCAGCTTGTCCTAGGTGATAACCAATCAGCCATACTTGTGGGAACAGGATTCTCTCTCAGACAGAATGGGATGGGAGGGGCACAGAACAGCCCCTAGGCCAGCCAGGGATAGCACAAGCCCAGCTTTGTACCCTTAGGAGGAGAATGGAACATACCAGGAGGAGGGAGGGGTGCCTGAGGAATTGGGGAATGGAAGATGGAGTAACAGTAGAAAAAGACCCTGAGTTACTCATTTAGGGACACCTGATTTTGTTACCTACCATAGTTTTTTTTTTTTCTTTTGGTCTTTTTTTTTTCATTTGTTTATCAGTACCAGGTATTGAACTCAGGACCACACACTTGCAAGGCAGGCGCTTATGCTGCTGAGCTAAATCCCCAGCCTTCACCCACCGTACCTTTTGGGTGACAGCAGACAACGGTGACACTTGACATTGGGCAGCTACACATACACTGCCTCCTCCTGTGATTCCATTCAAAGGTCCAAGAAAGATTGGAGTGGACAGTGGGGGCCCTGTGTAGACAAAGGTTTGTAGGGGAATGACAAAGACAGTTTGAGAGGATGTCCTGGGCATGTGGTAGTGGTACACACTCTGTGTTGCTCAACATGACTACCCAACACAGCCAGTGTCCAAATGCCACCCTGACCCAACACCCCAAGGCATGGATCTCCATAGCTCATTCAAGAAGGCCATCCCAATATCTTGAAAGACACTGGGTTCCACACACATCAGAGAAGGGCTGCCCAAATCTATGGGTACCATAGCGCCTGCTCCTGACCTTGTTTTGTGCTCTCCGTCATGGCACTCAGCTACAACATGATGCCACATGTTAAGAACAGATGGCTTGAAGAGTACTTGGGGGGAATCACCTTGAGCAGGGTTTGTGCTGGGGAAGGGATCTCCCTGCTATGCATTAGTGCTGTGCCTGGTGTTAACACATCATGACACATAGGAAAAGTAAGTCCCCATGGGTTCCAGGATCAAGGGAGGCTATGATATGCTGGTAAGTAGCTCCACTGTGTGAGAGTGAGGCCAACAGAGAATATTGTCCTCAGCCTCCAGCCTGGAACTGACTCACCTCAGACCATGTTCTGGGCAGTCTGTTCAAGAACTACATGTCTGCTGCTTGGGGAACTGCGTTCCAGGTCCAGGTCAGAACATTTGAGAACTTTCATGCACTGTGGGGTACAAAAGAGGAATGGAATTGGGGAAAATGTCCATCACAGGGCATAGGAAGTGATCACCATGGCACAGGTATATAACTTGTTGTCCTTTCTAAAGCTGTACCCCAACAGAGATTTTGACTTTAGGATATGATGCATGGCTTGGAACAAGGCACAGAGACTTTAGTTTTGTGGATCATTAAAGTGCCCTGTGTCTGCAGCATGAACTTTTCTCAGACTTAGGGAGGTGAATTGGTATTTTAGTGGGTAAGATCCCCAGAGAGAAGAAACCACATGGAGTCAACATTAGCAACAGCAGTAAGCAAGCATCTTTATTATCCAGCCTGTATATATCAGCCATCATCAGGCATTAAATTCTTGCATAGTGTCTCAAGCCTGAGCACATCCATGGCTGTCTATGTTAACTCATGCTCATATAACTATGTCCATGGTGTGCACATGCTAATCGGTTGGGTCAGATCCCATAGGTCCTCATACCTTTTGGTGTTGAAGCAGTGTGCAGTGGTTTCTCACATTCCTTTACCTCAAAGATCAGGGAAAATGTTCTTATTGTAACTGAACCATAGGGTGGACTCATGCACACAAAGACCATGACAACAATAAATGTAAAGAATAATACCACTAATCATTCCACAGTGCAGCTTATGGCCACCCAGAGCCAGGTGGATCCCAAGGATTCCCACCACTGCATGAGCAGGTCCTGCTGCAAGGCATCAAGGACACAAAACTCCATGTCCATTTCTTTTTATCTTTTACATTTTTTTTAAATTTAAAGATAGAAAATAAAACTAAAGGAAACAAAATACAAGAAAGCAAAAAAAGTGTAGAACATAGAATTCAAAAAAATTAACCCCTAACATTACTAGTTGATGCATTACATATTGTCATCTTAAAAAGTTGTTAAAGTTACAAAAACAAAGCATAAAAAGTAGCTAAATACTGAAACATTGACGGGCAAACCCTTCTGTTCAGTGATGTAACAGAAATTTAGTAATATGGTCATCTATCTTACACAGCATACACATCATTATATCATTGAGAGCCCATTTCTTTGCTTTTGCTTTTACAATATATACTATACTTTTTGGATCCCAATTCTTTGTCAGTTTTTCTTATTTTTTACACTATTGAGACAATGAGAGAGGATATTCTCAAGTTACTTTCATTTACTTATAAAGGCCTCAAATCATCCTTTTCTATAGCTGAGTAGTATTCCATTGTGAAAAAACACAATTTTTTCATCCACTTGTGGTTGCTGGCATTTTGGTTGTTTCCAAGATTTAGCTATCACAACTATGTTGCACATATCATTGCACATATAACACTGTGAAATAATTTTTTCAAATTTTCGGGGAAAATACCTAGAAGGGGAATAGCTGGATTGAATAGAACATCCAATCTTAGTTTTTTGAGGAATTTCCACACTAATTTGCACTAATTTGTGCTATCAGTCTGCATTCCCACCAACAGTGGACAAGTGTTCCTTTTTCCTTTCATGCTGCCAAAATTTGTTTCAGTTGATTTCTTGATGTCAGTCATTCTTTCCAGAGTAAGATGAAATCTCAGTGCTGTTTTAATTTGCATTTATCAAGTGACTAATGATGGTGAACATTGCTTTATGCATTTATTTGCCATTTGTATATCTTCATCTGATAACTGTGTACTTACCTCTGATGCCCATTTTTGAAAAGGGTCTTTGAATTTGGGGGCTTGATATTTTTCAGTTCTTCCTATGTTCTGCATACAAGTCCTTTGTCGTCTATCCAGATTCTTTCTGACTCTGTGGGGGTTTCTGGACTTTATTTGATTTCTATTTAAGTACAAAAACCTTGTAGTAATATGAGATCCCAGTTGTTGATTCTTTGAAGTATTTTCCATGTGGTTGTGTATTATTAATGAATTCTCTGCCTACTCCTATGTCTCCAAGATTTCTATCTACCATATCCTCCAGTAGATTTTTGTTTCTTTTTTAATATTAAGATCCTTAAACCACTTTGACTTTCGTTTAGTGTATGGTGATAGGTGTGGGTCTAGTTTCAGTCTTTAGCATGTAATGTCAATTTTTCTAACACCATTTATTAAAAAAGCTGTCTTTTTCCAGTGAACATTTTTAGCCCCTTTGACAAATTTAAGGTGGCTCTGTGTCTTTGTTGTAGTGTTTGCATCTTCTAATCTGTTCCATTGATCCTCAAGTCTATTTCTCTGCCAGTACCATGCTGATTTTATTATTGTGGCTTTGTAGTATAGTTTCAAGTCAGGAATTGAGATGAGTCTTGTCTTTCTGTTGTTGCCCAGAAATGCTTTTGTTATTCTAGATTTCTACTGTTACCAGATGAATTTCAGAATTATTTTTTCTAGATATGAAGGTATGTTAATGATATTTTGATTGGGATTGCATTGAATCTGTATAACAGTTTTGGAAGCATGGCCATTATCACAATATTGGCTCTTCCTAACGAAGAGCAAGAAATATCCTTCCATTTTCCAATATCCTCTTGAATCTCCATTTTCAGAGTAATATAATTTTCAGCATACAGGTGTTTTACATTTTTAGTTAGGTTGATTCCTAAGTATTTCATTTTTTTTAGATGCTATTGTGAAAGCTGTTATTTTCATAATTTTTCTTTCATGGAGTTTTTTGTTTGTGTACAAGGATGTTATTGATTTGTGAGTGTTGACTTTCTATCCACGTATGCTGCTGAATTTGTTTGTTGCCTCTAGTAGTCTTTCAATTGAAATTTTGGGGTCTTCTATGTAGAGTATCATGTTGTTGGCAAATAATGATAATTTAACTTCTTTCCCTAATTTTATTCTTTTTATTTCTCCCTCTTTTCTGATTCCTCTGGCTAATATTTCCAGAACTATATTGACTAGGAGTGGTGACAGTGGACATCACTGTCTTGTTCCTGATTTTAGTGTGAAGGCTTTCAGTTTTTGTCTATTTAGTATAACACTGGCTGTAGGTTTGCAATAAATGGTCTTTAGACTTTGAGGTATATAGTGTCTATTCTGAGTTACTGTAGGGTTTTTATCATGAACAGGTGTTGTATTTTATCAATAGCTTTTTCTGCATGCATTGCAATGATTAGGCGATTTTTATTTTTGGCTCTGTTGACGTGATGTATCACATTCATTGATTTGTGCATGTTGAACCATCTCTGCATTCCTGGAATAAATCCTATTTGGTTATATTGTATAATCTTCTTGATGATTTGCTGCATTCTATTTGTCTATATTGTATCGAGAATCTTTGCATCATTGTTCATTAGTGAGATTAGTCTATAGTTCTGCTATTTGATCTCTCTCTGGTTTTGGAATCAGAATGACACTTGCTTCTAAGAATGAGTTAGGGAGGACTAATTCTCTTTCAATTTCATTGAAGAGTTTTAGGAGTGTTGCAGTCAGATCTCTGAATTTCTTATGGAATGCAGCCCTGAATCCAGCAGGATCTGGGCTTTTATTGTTGGTAAGTTTTTAATCACATTTTTGATTAATGTAACTGATATTTGGTTACTCAAAATTGTTATATATTTTTGATTGAGCCTTGATAGTTCATATTTCTACAAATGTGTTTCCTCTGCTTTGCACCCCATGTGAGTAGACATTCTCAAGGTGGGGGTTCTTGATGTTTTGAATTTCCATGGGATCTACAGTAATTTTTCTCTTTTCAGTCCATATTGTGTGGATTTTTTTCTTGATAAGCTTGGCTAGAGTTTTATCAATTTTATTTTCTCAAAAAGCAGCTTTGATTCATTAATTCTTTGTAATTTTTTGGTTTCAATTTCATTAATTTCCGCTCTAATCTTTATAATTTCCACTCTTCTATGAACTTTGGGTTTGACTTGCTCTTCCTTTTCTAGAAGCTTGAGATATAGTGTTAGTTTATTTATTTGTGTTCATTCCATTTTCTTGATGTGACTACTTATTACTATATATTTCCCACTTAGAACTGCTTTCACTGGGTCCCATAGGTTGTGGTATGTTGTTTCTGCATTTTCATTGTATTATAGATGTTGTTTTATTTCTTCTTTAATTTCATCTATAACCCACTGGTTGTTCAGGATTGTTATTTAATTTCCTTGTATTTAGGCCTTTTTTTTTCAGGGAATTTTGCCATTGATTTCCAGTTTTGGTGCACTATGGTCCCATAATATGCATGAGATAATTTTGCTCCATTTGCATTTACTCAAAAATATTTTATGGGATAATATATGGTCTATTTTGTAGAATGTCCCATGTGCAGCTGAGAAGAATGCATGTTCTGATGTGGTTGGGTGGAATACTATGTAAACATCCACTAAGTGTATTCGTGCACAGGTATCATTTAGTTATGTTATTTCTTTGCTGACTTTTTATCTAAGTTGATCTATTTCTTTGTGACAGTGGGGTGTTAAGATCTTCTATTACAATTGTGT